TGTGACAGGCCGGGCGCGGTGGCTCAAGCCTGTAATCCCAGCACTTTGGGAAGGTGAGGAGGGAGGATCACTTGAGCTCAGGAGTTCGAGACCAGCCTGGCCAACACAGTGAAACCCCATCTCTACTAAAAATACAAAAGTTAGCCAGGCATAGTGTCCCGCACCTGTAATCCCAATCCCAGCTACTGGGGAGGCTGAGGAGGGAGAATCACTTGAACCCGGGAGGCAGAGGTTGCAGTGAGCCGAGATCATGCCACTGCACTACGGTCTGGGTGGCAGAGCGAGACTCTGTCTCAAAATAAACACACAAACAAACAAACAAATAAATAAAATTTGTGTATCTCTAATGAAGAGCTTAAACACAGGGACTTTTGACCTTTCTAATCCTTTGTTTTCTCACTTGAGAAATGGGTATGAAAAGAGTATTTCTCTCCCACAAGGGTTGTTTAGGGAACAATATCCCAGAGCATATTACCCAGTAGCTAGGTCACAGAGAGCACTTGATTAACATTGGTCATTGTCATAACAAGACGGAGGCTTGTTCTGCCGCCCAGGCTGGAATGCAATGGTACAATCTCAGCTCACTGCAACCTTCACCTCCTGGGTTCAAGTGATTCTCCTACCTCAGCCCCCTGAGTAGATGGGATTACAGGCGTGTGCCACCACGCCACCACACTTGGCTAATTTTTGTATTTTTAGTAGAGACTGGGTCTCACCATGTTGGCCAAGCTGATCTCCATCTCCTGACCTCAAATGATCCAACTGCCTTGGTCTCTCAAAGTGCTGGGATTACAGGTGTGAGCCACTGCGCCCAGCCTTGTTATTTGAACGGTAGCATAATTCTTCATACAAGCACATACACAAATATCATCCCATTTTATTTTCCTAGTGTGATGGCTAATATCAGGTGTTGGCTTAACTGGATTGAAGGATGCCTAGATGGCTGGTAAAGTACTGTTTCTGGTGTGTCTGTGAGGGTGTTGCCAGAGGAGACTGACATTGAGTCGGCTGACTGGGAGAGGAAGACCCACCCTCAGCATGGGTGGGCACCATCTATGAGCTGCCAGCAGGGCTAGAACAAAGCAGGCGAAGGAAGGTGGGATGAGCTGGCTTGCTGAGCCTTCTGGCTTTCATCTTCCTCCCATGCTGGATCCTCCCTTCCACTCCTTCTGCCCTGGGACATCAGACTCCATGTTCCTCGGCCTTTGAACTCTTGGACGTGCACCAGTGGTTTGCCAGGGGCTCTAGGGCCTTTGGCCACGGACTGAAGGCTGCACTGTTAGCTTCCCTGCTTTTGAGGCTTTCAGACTGGACTGAGCCACTACATCCCTAGAGCTTGTCAGTAGCCGAGCCAGGTTTCAAAGCCAAGTCACTGGCCTTTCAATGCAATCTCCTTCTCATCCCCCACTCAATCAAATGCTAATCAGGAACATTTGAGGACTACCTGAAGTGAGCCTTCCAGAACAATACAGGCTCTTCATGCCAGTCGAAATAGTCTAGAACCACTGTCCAGTAGAAATACAATGTGAACAGCCAGGCGCAGTGGCTCACACCTGTAATCCCAGCACTTC